TGTGACACTCTGACACTCTGACACTCTGACAGTGTCACCGGGCTGTGGGCACGGGCACTGTGACACTCTGACACTGTGACAGTGTCACTGGGCTGTGGGCACGGGCACTGTGACAGTGTGACAGTGTGACAGTGGGACCGGGCTGTGGGCACGGGCACTGTGACACTCTGACACTCTGACAGTGTCACTGGGCTGTGGGCACGGGCACTGTGACACTGTGACAATGTGGCAGTGTGACAGTGTGACCGGGCTGTGGGCACGGGCACTGTGACAGTGTGACAGTGTGACACTCTGACACTGTGACAGTGTCACCAGGCTGTGGGCACAGGCACTGTGACACTGTGACACTGTGACAGTGTCGCCGGCAGGTGGGTATGGGCACCACGGACAGCCAGTGTCACTGTGCTATGGCCATGGTCACCGTGCCATGGCTGGGGACAGTGTGCTGTGGTTGGGGACACCAGGGCGCCTTGCCACTGCCAGGGTCACTGTGCTATTCCAAGAATTACTGTCCTGCAGTCATCGTGCTGCTTCTGGGCATAACATGGCATAGGCAGGGACAGCGTGTTGTCACCAGTGTCACCGTGCAATGGCAGGGGCTACCTGTGCTATGGCCAGGGCAGCCCCACGCCCTGCCAGTGCCCGGGCTGTTGGCAGGAGGGAAATGCCGTGCCTGGAGCACAGGGGGGTCACTGCGCTGCTCAGCTCAGCTCTGCTGCAGACACTGACCCTCAGACAACACCCTGTCTGTGCCTGGCCCCCAGAAAGGGTGGCTGTCACCCCTTGGGGGACCCTCGGAGGCTCAGCTATGGCACAAGAGGCTCCATGGCCGATCACAGGGACCTTCAGCTGAGAGCAGAGGGGAGGGTTTGGTGGCCGCTCGTCGCTGTTCCACACCCAGAGCTGGTGCAAGAAAAGGGAAGTGAAGATGGACAGGGCCGAAGCTCTTGCTTTCCTCACGCAGGAAAGGAGGCACCCAGATCTGCCAGAGGACTGCAGGAGGCCAAGCCCCAGTCCTGCTCCCTCCCCATGGACAGTGGGAAGGAGGAAAAAGAAGAGCCTTAGAGGGAAACCCTCAATTACTGGGAAGGGAGTTCCCCCCGCGGCTCCAGGACCATCTCCCGAGTTAGTTTTCCCAGCACCGTGATGATGATCCTGGTTCCATAGATACCGATGCCATGACAACTCTGACATCATCCGTGCTTGGGACGGGAGCTGCAGGGACGTCGCAGGGAGGAGCATGGATGCGGAGCTGTGGGACTGGGGGCTTCTCCCGGCTCCTGGGCCAGCTCCTCTCCCACCTGCTGTCCCTGCAGCTCCCTCTCCCCTTGCAGGGACCAGTGTCGCTGCCACACCACAGGAGTACCTGTGTCCAGGTGTGTCCAGCCCCTCACACACGTGGCTGTCACACAGCCAAGGATTCCCATGTGCTCGGCCCCATTTCCAGCTCATTCTGGCTGTCCCAGCTCTGCCAGCCTGTTCCCTCTGCCAGGTGGGATCGGGATTTAACTGTTAAAGCTCACAGCGATGCCACGCAGTTTTTCTCAATTACAGGTGAGTCATCATCTCTCCGGGCCTATTTCTGAGTCCCAGCAGGAAAAGCAGAGCCCAGCCTTTCATTCCTCAGTGCCACCAGCTCAGCAGACATCATGCTGTACTATGCAAAACCGAAATGGCCACGGAGACAATGGTGGGTTGGTCCCTCCTGCTTTCCTCTGGCACGATGTCTCATGGAGCTGACCAGGCACTGCACCCCAGTGCCAGGAGCATCATTGCCAGCTCATCCCTGAATTGCAGGTCAGGAACAAAGGCCAAATTAACTGGAAGGGATTACCCCAGGTGGGATTTTTAATCAGCTTCGGCAGTTTAGAAGCAGCTGTTCCAGCGTCCTCGAAAATCAGTTTCATGCTTTGAGAACAAACCGTCCCGAATCCATCAGCCCAGAGTCAGGTACCATGGCAAGGGCTGCCCTGCTCCCTGAGGGTGCCCAGTGCCAGGGAAGCAGCATGTTCCCGGGGCTACTGCCCAGGGAATCACCCGGACCTCTGGGATCTGCTCCTGGTTTTCTCATGATGTGGGGAAAGACACTTCAATTCTCCCCCTTTCTAAAATGTCTTGCCCAGCCCATCTGTCCCAGCTGGGACAGGGATATTTCAGACAATGCAAAGCACAAAGCACCAGGACCCTGCCTGAACTTTTCAGATGTTATTGTAGAAGAAATCATCACCGTTTCCAGACAAAAACGTGGCTTATACACTTCCAGGCATGACCATGGTGCATCAGGCAAGGTCCCTACTCAATATCCCTGCTCCTAAACTTCTCCCCTTTCTTCAAGGTTCATCCCTCCAACCTGTGCTGTGTGCAGTGTTTGTACAATCATTTCTCACGTCATGGGGTGTCAGTTTTCTTCCCCTGCTACGGCACAGATAAAGCTCAGGAGGTATCTCCAGCCCACACACAAACTGCTTTTTCTGTTTCACTTCCTATTGCTGCAAATCAACGGATACACAGAGCCAGCCAATAACAGGGACAGATATTGCACCTTCAACATTTTCCCCATCAAATGGAGAACAGCAGCATTTGGAAATGGCACTTTCCTGAGCATCAGTTCAGTTTGAACAAGTTCTGGCTGCATTTACCACTCCCCCTGGATTTCAGTGACAGGGAACAAACAGCAGCACACAGACAAGTGCCTGAGATCTTTCTGTGTTCTGACTTTATAGGAGTTTAATTAAAGCTATGGATTTGCCTCCTGCTTCTTGTAGTCATGCTGACTTCTTAACCTTTGTTTTCATCACAAAAAAGCAATCAGGTTTTACTCAGGGGTAAATACACAGACATGACAACCCAGAGGAGACAAGGTGGGGGGCTTTCTCCTTCTTCAAAACCTGTTCAGGTCACCCCTACCCACTCAGCCAAGGGCCAGGATTGGGACCTGGCCCATAAGAAGCTGAATAATGGACAAGACCAGTTAATATGTTTTCTTTATGAGGACCAAAGGAATTTTCTCTGTGGCAGTGGGATGCTCCTGATTTGGCAGGCAAAACACTCAGGTACATTTTCTACTTAAGAGCTCTGAAATAAAATAGTTGTAGAATCCTGGAATGGTTTGGGTCCAATAGCAGAGAGAATGGACTTCCTGGTGAGTAACACCTTACCTCACTATCACTAGAAAGCTCTAGAAGCCTTCCACCCTAAGATCTTCCACTCCAGATCCAAAAATATCTGGAAGATCATTTCTGAGCTGGTTACTCATCCACTTGTGAAATGCAGCCGTTTCTCAGGTGGGATCCAGCAGTTACTGTGCAAGGATAAACCCAGGAGAAGTGTACTAGAAAAACACGTGGAAAACTTTACTGACTGAACTTGGGGATGACAGAACTCAGCGAATTGAGGGAGCACTGGTTTTGAACAGGAGAGTTGATATCTCAGTGCTTGCATAAAACCCAAACTGAACAAAACCCCAGAGGGTTTCAAAATGCCTCTCTCAGTGGTGCAACTGTGACACTGGTGACAACACCGTGCCCTGCCCACGCATTCAACGGCTCATCAACTCGGTATTTGCTTCTTCTCCAAATATTCCACAGCATCAAACAGTTGGGGGTTTTGGCAAACCAGTAATCTAATCTGATTCAGCCACTGCTCACCACTCTGCTGGAAAAGGGGAATAAGATCCCTTGGGGTTTTCCAGACCGGCCTCCTTGGGAGCACACCAGTCCCCTCGTGCAGGGCCTGACCATCCAGATGGCTTTGGTGCTTGTCCCCTGCTCCCTGCAGGTGTGGCACCAGGGCAGCAGAGCTGGCAGGTCCAAGGGCAGCTCAAGCCGTGCTCAGACATGAAGAGCTTCCCCAATTCTCATTTGAGTTCCCACAATTCTCATTTGAGCTCTCATCCTGCTGCCAGGAGAGCTCTCCCAGCTCAGCCCTTTTGGCAGTGCCATTTCTGCTCGTGTTACACCCCAAAACAAAATCTTCCTGGGGGAAATAAGGGCCACGGTGTTTGTGTGATGAATGAGGTGTTTGCAGTGTTATACACTGAAAACAAGAAAAGTTTAATTTCTTAACTGAACATAACACTAATGGGTCCTCAGACTCACAAGAAGGATGTAACCTGATGTAAAGGAGATTTGTGGGATGGATGGAGCTGAGTTATTTTATAACTGTGAATACTCTCAGGCCCAGGGCTGTGCAGCACAAGCACATTAAAAGAGATTTTCATCTAAATATGGAACACAGGCAAAGGCTGCTGAAACTCTATTTTTATCCCCATTTTGCAGAAGTGGAAGTGTGGCTACAGAAGATGAAGTGACTTACCTGTGTCTAGCAAGAAGCTTGTGACCAAGAACTGGATTTTGATCTCTGGAGTCTCCAGCCACGTGCCTTGTCCCATACTTTGCATATCTTTTACCCCATCTAAGCAGCAGGACAAGAGGCACAGCCACTGAATCCACCTTTTTGCACTCCTGGTGGCTTGGGCCAGATGTCAGGGATGGAAGAAGCAGGGAAAGCCCAGCTTTGCCTGACCACTCTTGTAACTCAAGAGGCAAGTGCCCAACCAGCACCATCCAGAACTGGGACACCTGACACTGGTGTTCAGGGAAACATGGAAGCTTTGAAATAGCTGCCTGGTGGGACAGACATTAAATTAACTCAGCTGTTTTCTTTCTCACAGATCTCCTAATTCAAAGCAAAGCTTCCACAAAACTCTGTGGGTTTTCTTCCTACCTTTTCCATGTAGCAGGGCTGGGCTGCATCCCTCAACCTCCAAAGGAACAGCTTTGCTGGAGTCATGACTGCCTTGTGATCTTCCTTTTGCCTCTATAAAGCATCCAGAGCAGGTGACAACCATTCCAAGAAGTCTGATCCCTTCTCTGACTGGAAACGATCCTGTTTCATGACTGCTGTGTCTTGTTCCTGTACCCATGTCTGGTCTGTGCACAAGCCCCTGTTAAGAAACTCACTGTCACAGAATTATCCAGTGAAGTTAATTCACCCTTTCCAATCTTTTAATGATCAAAAAGAGCCAGAACTTCTCCATATCTGACCAACTACGGGCTGAAGATCAGGTAGGAAACATGCTGGAAACAGAATCCAGTGTTTTATTATGCTTCCAAGAGCAGATTTCAGCTGCAGGCAGAGAAATAACATCCCTCACTTAGGTAATTTTACAAGAGGTTTGCACAGTAGTTTGAAAAGTAACCAAAAGTACTAAAATCTCCTCCCAAAATCACAGGAAAGGGATTAGGATGAGGTAAAACGTGGTATCTGGAGCAGTCTGTTCCAGAGAAGAGTAAGAGATGGGGAAAGTCAAGGAAATACAAGGAAATAAACGGAAATGCAATGAAATCCATCCTCTGTTGCCCTCTGCTGTTGGCTTGGTGAACTGTAAAGCAAATTTTCCCTGTGAAGCACATTGCAGTGACACAGAAGCCACCTGAACTGAGTGACAGCCAGCCTGGCATCAGCATAAATGTCCATGAACACTTCCCTGTGGGATGTGCCAATCCAGGGCAGTGTCCCAGCTGATCCCAACGCTGACCCTCATCCCCTTGGACAGTTCTGTGTTCTAACTGCTGATTTCCCTCCATCCATTAGCTTTCCTTTGTTTTCCTTAGCCTTCCAAGGTCTGCTTTCCTTTTTTATTATATTCCCTGTTAGGCTACAAAGTCAAGAGTTGACTCCACACCACCCTGTTGGCTGTTTCTACTGAAGTGGTTAATCTTGACTACACAAAATACTCCACTGCTCCTCTCCATCATTCAGACATTAAGCCTGAACAGCCAGGAATGGAAAACAAATCAAACAAATGAGTGATGATTGGAAGGGGCAAAAAAAAAACCCAACCCAAAATTTAAACCCTCCCCTCTCCAAGCCTGTGAAACTCCAACAGGAAGAACATCACACACTGCCTGGAACAGGCTGAGGCAAAAGGCACAGAAGCAAAGCAATTCTTGTGAATCTTACTGTAAACAGGACACTGTGTACACCCAACACACTGCAGAGGAACAGCTAATCCCTGGAAAAATGTCAAAGGCACAGTGATGCTTCTGCCAACATCTGCACTGTTACTTGCTTAGCAACTCTGCCTGCCATCCGTGGAGGGGACGAGTCCCTCGTGGCTCCCTGCTCTTTGCTTTCCGAGAAAAAACAAGAAGGAAAAAAATAAAAATGAAGTCCAGCTGTGAATGCAAACCATGGAAACGGCGAGGAATTTGGGAAGCTGCAAGGTTAGTCGGGTACCTGTTCCACAGGAGCAGCTCCCAAGCAAAGTCCCACGAGCTCCTTGGGCAGCACCTGCTCCTGGCCCTGCTCCTCCTCACAAGGGCTCCTCGTATGGAAAGGAAGCAGTTTCCCTTTCCTGGGAAGTGGGGTGGGATGTGCATGGTTGTGTGGTGGAGATGAAATTACAAATGTCCTGAGCCACCCTGCTCCAAATCAGCAAGATCTGAGCTGCTCCCAACGCCAACACTGCCCTTAACTCTGTCAGCAAGTAAAAAAACCCTGGGATCCCAACAAAATTCCCGCTAGTCCCCACATAAAACCAAACTCCAACCTGACAGGACCTGGTGCACAAAATCCCTGGATTTTTGTAGCTTCTTGGCCTGCAGAGAATTCCATCAGTTCAGCAGCACAACAGAAAAGGACCAGGAGCAGCCCCACCTTGTCTGATCAATCCACACAGAATCCCAGAACCTCACCTGAGCCATCAAGCTAAAATACAACAGTATATATCTATACATATAAATACACAGAGATATAACTGGAATATGCTGGCATGCAGAGGTTAGACACACCAGCACAGTATAATCCCTTTTCCTACCATCCCATTCAGTAGGAACCAGGAATGAACTCAGTTGCTTTATTATTTTTACATCAATGGGAAATATAATTTGAATACAGAGATTTTTAAAACTAGATTTAATCAAGTGCATTTAGAGAACTCACTATTTTCTGTACACGAGTACAAGTATCTCCAGTGGAAATTCCTTACCTAAAATTAAAACTTGTGGTACAAACGAGCAGCAAAACAAATCCTCCCTCTCCTCACACAGTCAAGTCCACAGAGTTGAGGATATGCCTGAGAAATATGTAAGTCAAAGCTCTTCTGCCAAGCTAAAAACACGAGAGAACAGAGTGCAAGCACAGATTTTACCAAATGGCCACTTAGCAAAGATAGAAACTGCCCTAAAAACATCCTGGCAGCCACAGCTGGTGGCCTCATTTTTGGGAAGCATTTTCTAGAGATGCCAACTTCAGTTTTAAGGCTCTTCCCTACCCCTGCCAGGACAGGACACACTTTTCCTCCCGCTCACCTCCCTGAACCACACAAGGTGACCAAGGTGACCACAAAACTGTGTGTTGCCACTGCTGCTCCCCCTGATTTAGAGCAGGATTCACACTCCTTTTCCTCCCTACACTCCTAGTAAATGCTTTTTTGTTGGTCCCCTCCCCACTAGTGGATACCAATGTGCTTCATTTTGGGGACTGAGTTTATTACCAAAAACACAAAAATCTTGGCTGGGATTTATTTGTTCAACATGCTGAGAGGAAAATTTTCTGAGCACTTCTAATAAACTGAGTGACACCTTCAACCATAAGACCTCAGATCTCACACTTCCTGCAGTACCTTATCATCACTTTGGCTGGGGTTGTGTTTAGGGATGTTACTACATTGAGTTCAGGAGTCACCAGTCCATAAAATGTCCCATCTTGTTTTAACAGGTCTGACTTGAAAGGACTTGCCTGTGCCATAAAACCATTAAAATGTGTTTCCAAAGTTGTTACTGGTTTTCTAACCACTGAGGAGCCCCACACACAGGTGTGAGGAGTGAAGTCTCAGATAAGAGCTGTCATCACTCCAATTACAGCAGCACCATGAACATTTCCAGTTAATGCTCGCTAGGAAAGCAAGGGTAAAGTTACAGGTGTGCTGGGGGGCATGAAATAAGGAAGCTTCACTAAAACCTCAGCAGGAAGCACAGAAGGAAAAAAAACCTGCTGTTGTCAGGGTTTGTGCAAACTTCTCCCAGCCAGAAGTGCAGGAAGGGATGAGATCACGACCTACGTGAGGAACTTGAAATGATTTGGACTCTGCAGGTGTCCCCTTTTATAAAGGCCTGTGTTTTATGCATTCTGGGGTAACTGATTTATAGTGTTACTCCTCTGGAGTCTGACATTCCCACTTACCAATACAGTGATGCAGCACAGCTGACTCAGGGAAATACAGACAGTTTGGGTTCTGAGCAGTTCCCACCCAGGAACACACCTGAGGGGCTCCTGTGAGTCCCCTCTGCAATAAAGATGACATAAAGCTGAGATCACAGTCCTTAGCAGGACTCAGGTACTTCCAGGGGCTTGTAAAGCCCTTTTCTAGAGAGATTTTTAGCTGGGGATTACACCACAGTATGCGCCAGGCCAGCAAGTACCAATCAAGAATTTAATCTCAGAATAATTAAAGCTGACTATGCTTCATCACAGTCATCAGTCTTGAGCTATCTTCATGCCAGACAAAGGTTCACAGCAGAAACAAAGAGGTTATTTGCTTTAAGAATAAGTAGTTCAGTTGAACTTATCACCAAATCACTTCTGGATCCAAAGAAAATTAGCAATTCACTGAAAACATCTGAATTTCACCCTGTTGATACTTTGTTCCATTTCTCAGATGAGGAGATGCTTTAGTTTCCCTTTCTGCAGTGGCCTCTTACATGATAAATTGAAACACAAAACGAAAATGAGAAATCTGGGCTCCGTGATTTTAGTATTTAAATTAAATGTACCTGCCCCCAGGCCTTTTACCAAAGGAGTTGGATGCAAGATTAACAACAAACATTGGAGTTTCTGGAAAGAGAGATCTGAAGATACAGACTTGGCACTAAACCCAGCATGAAGTTTCTCTATCAGAACAGAAATGAAAATTACAATTAATCAGATGCATTTTCTAAAACATCGGGGTAGTGCCTGCAGAGAACACAACCGTGTTCAGGGAAAATGAATTCTAAGCAAATGCCCCTAAAATCAGGAAATGTCATCATGAAAAGGTCTCCCCGAGTTTCTCAGTGACTCAATCTCACAGGTTTCTGGCAATTCCCGTGCTAAACATAAGGCCTCAGTCCCTCGGGTAATACATCAGTGTAATCACATATCAAAATATCATTAGGATAAGGTTTTCCAATCTCCTTTCACCTTTCAGTCTGTCACACACACACAAACACAGTCACTGACTCTCATGTCTCCCTGCAGTGCCCTGACAAGGGTTGGATTGGTCTCCAAGGCAGCCCCTCCGGGTTAATCACAGCTCCCATCCTTCCAGCCATCCCGCCAGCGCTCATCCACACGGGAGCAGTCAAATTCAGATTTCCCCAGTTTCCTGTTCACTTCGTTGTGAAGAAGACACAGCCACTGGGACAAGTTATTCCTGGTGCTCGTGTCTGGTTGATTTGTCCGTAATCTGCAAGCAGGGAAGAGGAAACAAATGTTATTTCTTTATAGTCACCAAATTCGGTACCCACAGCAGGCACAGAGTCCCAGAGAGAGCACAGTAATTATCACTAAATATCTCTAGAATACTGACAGCTGCAGCTTGGCTTCATTCACTGCCTGGTCCTGGCAACTGGAAATGACACAGACAACCCAACAGCACAAGGACAGGTGTTTGTTTTTTGACTAAGTGTACCTGTGATTGATGCAATAATGGAAGAAACCAGGTAGCTACAAACCCCAAATGCAGGAAGAGCTGCTGATATGCAAAATAGCTGTGGCAGCCCAGCATTTCTGGCAAGCCCCTCCAGCACAAAAACGTGCTGAGGACACTCACCTTCTCCCTCAGGTAGCCAAAAAACCCACTTGAGGACACCCACCTCTCCCTCAGATCCTCAAAAACGCTCTGAGGGTACTCACTTCTCCCTCAGGTCCTCAAAAACTCGCTGAGGACACTCACCTCTCCCTCAGGTACCCAAAAAGCCCACTGAGGACACCCACCTCTCCCTCAGATCCTCAAAAACGCTCTGAGGGCACTCACCTC